TGCTGCTGCTGCTGCAGTTCGGGTTCCCAGTGCTGGAGAAGCTAACGGTGCGGCTTCTGCCTCCTGCGGCTGCTTCCGATGTGCTGCATTTGCTGCTGATGCTACTGGCTAACGGGGCCCTTCATGCAGCTAGCAGCAACGGCAGCAGCAGCAGCAGCAGCAGCAGCAGCTTCTACAGCAGCGGAGGAGGGCTGCCTGGGGGAAGCAGCTGCAGCAGCAGCAGGCGCTGGTCCGTCTCTTTAGATCAGGTTTCGAGTTTTGTTCCTAGGGACATTGATGGAGGAGCAGCTGCAAGGGGACCACATGCAGCAGCAGCAGCAGCAGCAGGAACAGCAGCAGCAGCAGAGGGCTGCTGGCTGCTATCACAGCGGCGGGGCTCCACAGGAGACACTTGGGAGACACTGCAGCAGCAGCAGCAGAAGCAGCGCGAGCCTTACTCACTGCTGCAGGGAGGGCCCATACTGCGGCTGCTGCTAGAGCAGCAGCAGCAGCAGCAGCAGCAGCAGCCGTACCTGCTGCACAGTATTGCGGCAGCGCTGCTGGAGTGCCCGGGTCTCCGGGCAGCAGCAGACGCAGCAGCAGACGCAGCAGCAGCAGCAGCTGAGGCAGCGCTGGAGAGGAAGGCAGCAGCACCTGCTGCTGGTGCTTCGGGCAGGAGTGCAGCAGCAGCAGCAGGCGGTGCAGCAGCAACTGCTAGTGAAGCGGCAGCTGCAGCAGCACAGCTAGTCCCTCTCGGCAAGGCTCCGTACCTATTTGCTGCTGCACCCTTGCAAGAGATTTGCTTAACAGGCGCATGCAGCCTTTCCAATGCAGATGTGAGTTGCTGTTGCTGCTGCTGCTGCTGTCAGTTGCTGTGCTTTTCTAGCAGCTGCAGTCACTGCTGCTGGCGCTGCGAATGGCTGTGCCTTTCTAGCAGCCGCAGTCTCTTGCTGCTGTTGCTTCTGCTGTTGCTGCTGCTGCTGCTGTTATGTGGCGACGCAGCGTGACACAAGCACTGATGTTTTGCGCCTGCGTTGCTGCTGCGATGTGTGCTGCTGCTGCTGCTGCTGCTGCAGCTGCTGCGGGCCCTGTGTCTGCTGCCGAGGCTGCGAGTCCTTGAACTCGCCTGTGGGGCCAGCAGCTACGGGAAAGGTTTGCTGCTGCAGCTGCCCGTGCTGCAGGTGCTTTCGGTGTCTGTACACCCCATGCTGTCTTGGGTGCTGGAGGCGCCGCTGCTGCAGCTGCTGCGGCTGCGGCCCCCCGTGGCTGCGCCCTGCAGCAGCAGCAGCAGCAGCAGCAGCAGCAGCGGCGAACTCGCGCTGACCCAGGCCGAGCTGCAGCACCTAGTTGATGCTGCTGTCGGCTTTGCAGCAGCGCTGCCCGCCAGCAGCAAACAGCTCTCTCTGGTGTACGTACAGTTCGGCAGCGCCCACTGCAGCAGCTGCAGCAACAGCAGCAGCAGGGGCTGCTGCAACACTCCTGGCTGCTTCTGCACCGGCAGCACCAGCAGCAACACAGATCGCGAGCTTCTCCAGTATGCGGCGACGCTCCAAAAGCTTGCGGCTAAAAGCAGCAGCAGCAGCAGCGGTAGCAGCAGTAGCAGCGGTAGCAGCAGCAGCAGCAGCAGCAACAGCAGCAGAAAGGTCAAGTGCTGCGCGGTGGTTGGGCGTTCAGTTGGCAACGCCTTTGAGAGCCACCGCCTCCCTTTCCGCAGAAGAACACGCAACAGCAGCAGCAGCAGCAGCAGCAGCATTCGCAGCAGCAGCAACAGCAGCAGCTGCTGCAGCAGCAGCATGAGCAACAGCACCAACAGCAACAGCATCAGCGTCAGCCACGCCGACGCGGCTTCAAGGGCTTCGGCCGCAGCAGCAGCAGCAGCAGCAGAAGCAGCGGCAGACTGGGGGGGCTTGCTGTCTGCTGCGGAGCAGCGGCAGCTGCAGCAAAGCCTGCTGTCTCTCCCTGCTGCTGCTGCTGAAGGCCCGCTGCTGTTGGATGGCTGGGGCAGCCTTGACAGATTTGCTGCTGCTGCTCTGCTTTAGCGTCAATTTTTAGTGTGTCTGCAGTTCAAGTGCAGCAAAGCCATGTAGTAGCTGCAGCAGCAGCAGCAGCAGCAGCGGCGGCGGCGAGTCCAGCAGCCTGCTGCTGCTGCGGTGCTGCAGCGAAGCTGCTCGCGTTTCCTTATCAACGAAGTGAGCTGCTGCTGTCAGAGCAAGTGCTGCTGTGCTGCCGCTGTTGCTGCAGCGCCGACAGCAGCAGCAGCTGCAGCTGCTGCAGCTTCCGCTGCTCTTGCTGCTGCAGCATTTTATTTTAACTTAGAATTTATACAGGTGCATCCTAGTGCGTGTTTCTGCTGCGGCGCGCGGCTGCGCCTAGCTGGTGTAGTTCGCTGCCGCTGCTGCTGCTGCTGCTGCTGCACCTGCTGCTGCTGCTGTAGACAACGGGCTGAGTCTTGCTGCTGCTGCTGCTGCTGCCAGCAGCAACACAGAGGCGTCTCCTACTGCTCCCCACTCGAGGTGGCCCTTTTCCTCCGCAGCCAATATGTCAGCACTCTCCTGCAGCAACAGCAGCAGCCGCAGCAGCAGCAGCAGCTCGTCTCTGAACTGCCCTGGCGGCAACGGCAAAAGCTGCTGCAGCAGCGGCAGCAGCAGCAGCAGCAGCCACTGCTGCCGTTGCCTCTGGGGGCGGCAGTGCGGGCGCCCGCAGCAGCAGCTGCTGCAGCAACGAGAACGGCAGCTACAGCAGCAACAGCAGCAACAGCTGCAGTAGCAAGAACAGCAACTCGGGCAGCATCAGCAAAAGCGGCAGCAGCAGCAGCAACCGGGAACCTTCAAACCTACTTGCTGCTGCAGTGAAAGCGCATGCAGCTGCTTCGCGTCTGTCGTTCGGTGCTGCTGCTTTGCCCCCGCAGCAGCAGCAGCAGCTCCCTCCGCCAGCAGCAAGTGCCGTAACCGCTGCTGTTGCTGCTGCGGCTGCTGCTGCTGCTGCTGCGGTTGCCGCTGCAGAGGCATGTCTGTCTCTGCTGCGCTTAAAAGGTGCAGCAGCCGCTGCAGCTTAGCTGCCAGCTCAGCAGCAGGTGGGGCAAGCAGCAGCGCAGCAGCTAGGGGAATGTGCGGCAGCAGCGCCGGGGTCCTTCTTGCTGCTGCTGCTGCTGCTGCTGCTGGTTTCTCTTTTGCAGTGGCAGCAGCAACTGCAAGCGCCATCAGAGGCCCGTTCGTCCCCTGTAGCTCTTGCTGCTGCTGCTGCTGCTGCTGCACAAGCAGCGACACTGCTGTGCTGGCTGCTGCTGCTGCTGCTGTAAGTGCTGCAGCAGCAAGAGCCCCGTGTTGCAGCTCTACGAAGACGCATGCAGCAGCAAAGCAGGCAAACTTAAGAGCAGCCGCAGCCAAGCCATCTGCTGGCAGCAGCGAAGGCATCAACAGCGCTCTGAGCAGCTGCAGCAACCTGCTGCTGCTGCTGCTACTGCTGCTGCTGCTGCTGCTGCTGCTGTTACTGCTGTCCTGCGGCCACAGCAACAAGTCGCTAGGGGAAGCAGCAAAGTAAGAGCGGAAGCGCAGCAGGTTGTTCGCGTGCTCGGCTGCAGCAGCAGCTGCTGCTGCTGCAGTGACGCTGCTGCATCCTGCTGCTGCTATCTCTTGTTCGCTGCTGCTGCTACTACTGCTGCCCGGTGCTGTCTCGGCTGCTGCTGCTGCTGCGTTATACTCGTTT